TCACCGGACCAGGCTCTCACATCACCAAGCGCGAAGCGCCGTGAGGTATTCGGCGAGTCGCACGAAGGGTGCGCTGCATCCTGCTGAAGGGTGTTCGGCATCTTGTGCTTACTTCCTTGCGTACGGATGACAGCTGCGTATGACTTAATTTATTTTCTGGTGCTTTCACTTCCAGATACAGTTATAAGCACTGCGTAGCTGCCTCGAGGGTACTTGGCCATTATAACACAACTTGGTGCGATCATCCCTCTTGCGCCGAGTGAGGGTTCTCGACCCCGCACAACATGATCTACTCGACCACCATTATGGTTACCGCCATAAACAAACAGAGGCAAAAAACACCGGTAACCTGGTTGCCGAGTTCACGAAGTGAATTGGCTTGTTTTACAACGTCGTTGCCAAGCGACGAAAACCCAATCCCGATGGCAAACACCGAGGGGGGGGCTTGTTTTACAACGTCGTTGCCAAGCGACGAAAAGCCAGCCCCGATGCAAACGGGTGATTGAACCCACCCGCATCTTGGCGAGGAGGTCCATGGCAGCCCTGTGCCCTTCCGATGCCGCCAGCGCGGTGAGCGCCGCCTGGTGCGCCGGAGGGTATGGTTCTAATCCCGCCGCTTCCATTTCTTCCAACAATAAAACGGCCTGAGAGGGGAAGGCGGGGGTCAGCAGTAGGGGGTAGTTGGGAGTCCGCAAGGAGCAACGGTAAAGAGACAAGAGAAATTTCAACTATTTTTGGGCCGGCCATGAGCTGAACAACCAACCTACTTGCTGATTCGCGATTCAGCGTCACGAGGAAACACGAGACCGGAAGTTGCACTGCTAGGGCACACGACTGCATGACCACATTCGTCGACCTCTCCGGACCAATCCGGACCAAGAACATAAGACGAGCGACCCGCTACGCGTAGCCGAAACACGACACAGGCTAACATGGGCTACGGAGCCTACACGTCTTGATGGGGCGTAGTCTAAAGGTTTGCGCCATGCCAGCAATGTACCTTTCGAGCATTGGCCTTGACATTCGTGGTGGCCTTAGCACAGGCACCGATGGCCGTCGCGTACGTCACTTCCGTCGGCTTAACACCCTTGGACTGCTTCGAAGGAAGGGGGCGGGGAAAAAGGGTTAGGCGATAGTACTGCGGGGGGTGGGAATAGGTTTCTCCCCGTACGGATACGTTTGACAACACACTGTTGAAAGAACATACCTTATTCTTTCTTGAGAGGGGGATGGGCGCGAGATAGTCCAGAGCTGGGCGAGCACGGTGGAGTCGAGAACACAACCAACCACAATACGACCGAAAGGCTGTTTGCTGGTAGGCAAACGCAGCAACGCCATTCTCACATGGGAGTAAGCTCCAAAGCCTACCGCCATCACGACATCGCACATCAAGCACAGCCTCTGGTCCTTGCATACAATGCCACCGGCTACTGACAATGGATACAGTAATCGCAGTAGCAGTGGCTAGCACAACAAGACCGTTCAGTGGTACACGTCGTCACCCGTTTCGTGTGTCTCCTCTTGCTAATCATCGATCGAGTAGATTGAGTCACCTTGGCCTCCTCCAGAAGCTCGAGCGCCTTGCCCGGCTCCCCAGTGACGCTCGCGGCGTGCATGGCTGCATTCCACCCGACGACAGTCATCTACGAAACCATCCATCACACGCAGATGCATATGTAGAGAGGGGGAGAGGGTGCAAGAGAGGGAGGGGGAGAGGGAGGGAGGGGGGAGAGATACGGAGTGAGAGGGAAAGAGGGTGAAAAAGGGCGAAAGACAGGGGCATCTACATGTACAGGGTTCTCTCGGGGGAGTGGGTCCGAGCCACATCACAATGAACAGTCTGCGGGTGATCCAAGATGTAACCCTGTGTTTTTTCCCAATTGCAACAACGAAGACTGCTGCTGCGAAAGCAACAGCTCGGCCGGCACAAATGTAAGGCCCACAACCAAGACCCGACAGCAAAGCTCTCCCAAGTCCTCTGATATACCAAACCCCAAGAAAGAGACAGAATCAGCAAGGAAAGAGGGTGCACCCGACGTCGAACAAGATACAGGGAAACGCCAATTCATCAATTTTCCCTTGTTGCCGCAAAGAGGCACAAAGCGACACGACGGACATCATCGCGAACGGTCGGCACTGCCCCAACCTAAACCTTCCCACAACCTACACTTTCCCACGACAGCGCACACAGGTGGCACCGTCTCGCGCCGGAAATAAAGGCACGCCGACAAACGTAGTCACCCCCACGGCCGCAGGAATCATACACTACCCGCAGTTGCCACATCGCCCTAAGGCTAGGCGTCGTATCGAACCGCCAGGAAACAAGGTTCGGGCGACGGGCGGGAGGCGCGACGCCGCACCAACAACGCCCTACTCACCACGATCCCTCGCTCCGAAAAAGACAAGGCGGAGTCGAGAGCCTCCTTGGCCTTGCCGCACCTCTTGTACGCCACAACCGCCCAGGCGTAGCTTTGGCGCTTAAGCCTCAACCCTCTCTCTTCCGCCTGCCGGAAGAGCGCCAGCAGCTGCTCGTCTTTCCCCTTAGCCTGACGATTTTCGGGAATGAACAGACGCCATCAATCATGTGAAAGTGGGCGGGAAGGGTACCAAAAGCCAGAGAAGATGGTGAAAACTAGAGTCGAACTTTCTGTAACAGTGGCCCTTTCTCAGGGGCGGGCGGAGGCTCTGCTATTGCAAGTACTCGAAACCGCTGTGCACGCACATGTTTCGACTTTAGTGTAGCCACCGTGGTGGGCATTCAAGCGGAAACATCGTTGTGATAGGTCTCTTGTGACGTGACCACCGCCCAAAAGGCCTGTGAGGCCAAAACTACTGAGCCCTTGATCTACAACACCGCACCACCGTTTTACATCGCTTTTGTGGCTGGCCGACGACCCTATATAGCCCAACGGGCACCAACGCCACACACACAATAACATCACAAAACACCCTACGTGCACGCTTACCTTTCCCAGGGCCGTGAGGATAGCATCCGTTGTGGCTGCATCCACCTCTACTCCCGCCTGCTGTGCCTCTTCCATCAAGGATAGTGCCGCCGACAACGTCTTCCTCGGTGGAGATCCCTGGCGTGCCGCCCATAGTGAAGCATTTAGACCACCGGGGCATTTTGGAAAACAACGCGAAACAGTGCGGGCACCGTTCGTGTCAAGCAAGCAAGAAGCAAGACGGCCGGTGAATGCTTGAAACAACTGGGGATACCGCGGGGAAATATGGAGGGGGGTGGACAGAACAATGTGTTGTTATGCCCCTGGCCTCGAGCTCGGGCACGCAGGGAGCGACTCTATTGAGACACTGACTAAGGGCCCAAGGTTTGTTGGAGCGATGTTATATCCTGGAGGAGATACCTCAATAGTCGCGATACAATGCTGCAATCCAATACCATCGAAAACTGTTGCACACGAGAGACTCACGTCCGGTCGTTGCACCCTTTCCTTTGGCTCAATGTCTCATCGACAAGGTCAATCGAAGGATATACTATTTTTCTGATAGCGAAACGGTGCCCTCTAGCTTCTTTATTGATCCTACCGTCCATGCGGCCTATCAGCAGCTAAACACCCTCGGAAAAACTCAAAAACATTACGCACCTGCGCAACCGTGGTGATGGTTTTGCACCAAACATCGGTGCTCAAAAACTCGCTCGAGACTCCAGCCGAAGCTTCTACCTCAGCCACGCCTACTCCTTCCACCTCCATAACGGAACCATCCCCCCCCCTTGGCGTCGTCACTCCCGACGAAGACTGCATCGTCCGGAAGACGTCTAACGCTCCACCCTGCCCGGTTGGGTGCCATGTCATGCGTCAAACGACAAATAACGAGTCGGTGGCACATACAAGATGGGCGGGCGGGCCAGCAAGAGTAAATGGCGGCGTGTTTCCGGAAAAAAAAACGTTGGTTGGGTCGGCAATTACTGCCTCGAGAAGCAAATTGAAGTGTCACATTCGAGTCCAGCTCGGTTAACGATACGCCCCTGGCGCGGAAGATGCCTCGTGGGCCATGTGGACGATGTTGGTCGGTAATCCCATGCAGAGCTAACGCATCATCCTAAGTCGTGAACTGATAGAGGTGGCGGGTGGAGCTCTTTGCAGCCGCCCCCTCCTTCCCTCTCTTTCCCCCTTCTCCCTGTCTCTGTCGGCCCGCCTTCTCTCTCTTACAAGTTGACATTGGTCTGCCAGTTCGTCCAGTAGATGCTATAGTAACACCTTGAGTAAGACCACCCACACGCTGTGTCCACATTCAGCAGCCGGTCACCGATGCCATTCGAAGCAACACGCCAACACACACATCGAGCACCGGTTCAACGTGCTTTTTCCTCCTCTCGAAGTTGAGGCACGAATCACACAACCACACAAACAAGTCACACGACACAAGGCTCTCCAGGCACGAAGGTGAGGGTCCGTTCATGAATTGCCACCTTACCCAGTGCCGCCCTCCGCTCTTGACGAAGGCCTTGAACGCCAGGGAGTAAGTGTCGGCATCTGGATAGCGGAGTAAATATTCATTGTGGCACACGGTAAGGGGGGCGAAGGCAAACAGAGGTATCACTAAGGCCAAGCACACGTGAAGTACAACTAACTGGAAACGCACATCAGGGGGAAACGCCATGGGGAAAGCATCTGGTGAGGAATAATTTTTGCTTGGTGCCTTCGTTCCGCCAAGCTAATATTTTTCTCGGCACTCACTCCCCTTGGCCTTCTCTTTCTGATGAAATTGTTCTCACACCATGTACCTGTAGGTCTAAGTCAGGCACGTACGTTTTTGCCGAGGTCATTGAATGTGTGACCTGTCGCTGTATCAACTCATGCTTGCGTAGCACTCAGCGAGAGCTGGAAACCCATGTGCCCTCAGGCGAACATGATTGAGATTCGACTCCCAACAACGACGAGGTTGTTGGTATTTTCGTTTCACTCACCTGCAGGGTGCCCATTCCGACCCATGTTCCCGATGGTAGTCAGCACAGCTTTCGCGTCTCCTAGCTGGGCGTGGGCCGACACCAGCCAATTGTAGCTAACAGCAGCGGCAACCAGCAAAGAGGGCGAGCCGACGACAGGGCAAGAGAGAGAGCGAGATAGCCATGACGAGGAGCTGGGCGACGTCGCCAATGAGTCCACGTCCTAACACGTTCGTGAAGAGTAGCACCACCAACTCCAAGTAACTTGAGCACACCGAGCAGATTAGCAACATCAGCGGTAGATAGAACTGTCGGCGATACACGAACGTACGTACATGGCGAAGGCCGGGTGCACCATCGCCCTGCACCATCGCCCTGCACCATCGCCCTCTCGCAACACGCATACGGCGACAAAAATGTGCAAGGACCAAGAGGACGCACAGCCCCAAAACGATTTGCTCGCGTCTCATTCATTCTGGCACCAGTCTACACACACTTTCGGTGCATGTATTTAACGTATCAGCCGGGGTCGCACATTCGAGTACCACCAATTAAAAGTCAAAATTACGTCACGATACGCGCCAGCTCAATGAACGGTACGGGATTTTCCCATACCTGAGTCGGTCCAGATCAGGAAGGGGCCCTCCACCGGCCGTAGACCTGGTTCCCAGGAGACCAATGATACCCTGCCAGTCCCCTAGCGCACCCATGGCCCTCGCGACCCTGCTGACCTCTGCGGCAGCAACGTCTGTCACTACTCTCCCCTTCCCGACGAATAGTTCCCACACACCGACAACCTGTGACAACAGGCGCGGTGTAACATGGAGGGACCAGCCAGAGCACTCAAAAAGCGAACCAACTTTCCGTTTGTTCTCCTCGACATCCCCGAGGTGATACAAGCAAAAAAAAGATGAGGAAACATCGCCGTACGGGAAATCCGCGTGGCCGGCATGCCGGGCTAACCTCACACACGCTGGCGCTGCCTTGCATCACAGCAGCCAATACCTGCGTCGGATCGTTGGCCATTGCGCACGCCTTCATCGCTTTCCGGTACGTGGCGTCATCGGCGTCCAGCCCTTGGGCTCTCATCGCTAGCAACACCTTCGTCACCTGTGCGCCCGCAACAACATCAACAACAGTACCAACCAGCCGGAGGACGGAGTGAAGCGACAGCTCACAAATGGTGTTGCCAACTAAAACAACGACGGCCGTGATTTCCCACCCCGACAGAAGGGAGCTGTTGTTGGATGTGGTTCGCTGGGACGACGACAGGGGTCGCATCAAGCGGCCATATTTTCCAAAAAATAAGCGACGGGTCTCATTCGTGGGAACCAAGCGTCGACAGATATGCCGATCAACGATGTGCTCCGCATGGGAGGTAGTGGGTGAACACCGTTGTGTTTCGCCGGCTACGACCACTCAATCTCACTCATTCCCAACGGCTCGACGATGGCGCGCAGCGCCTGGCATTGGCGGTACTGTAGCAGATCGATCTCCTCAAACAGCGACTCACGCACCAGCACGTGGCAATACCAACAGAGTGGACAACAACATCTGTAAACAAATGATGACCACCAACAGGAGTGCAGCAGCGTGATCCCGGGCTGCACTCACTTTCCGTGTGTTTTTGCGTGTGGTGCACGTGTCCAGCACGGTGTTGACCACCTCCTGGGGAGGTTTGTAGCCCTTGGAAATCATGGCATCCAGCATGCGTGTTGCCTCCTCTATCCGCCCACTCTGAAGCGTCCAAGGATGCGTCGGGCAGCACGGGATGGTTTGACGAGGAAATAGAGTGTCTCAAAATTGCTGATACACCTGGTACGGGAAACCTTGCCTAAGGTGCACCCTTTTACGCGGACAGCACTCACTTTTATGGGAAATCTGTCCTGTTTCTTGACCGGCATCTACCACCTCTCGCATTCCATCCGCACGCATAATAGCTGACATACAGCTTGCGGATTTGTCGTATTGCCCTCGTCGGGGTGTGAAAATAGTGCTTCGTACTCCAAAAACACTCTAAAGCTCCCAACCGAACGACACCCAAAACACATCAAAATATTCTGTGCTAGAGCTTTGGTGGTGGCCGCCAATGAACTCCCTGTGCTACAGAAGCGACACACAAAAACCTTTCTGGCCGGCGCTAAAGTGGTAGCCTCCGATGAACCCCTCCCGTGGTTCATCGGCGTATGTACCGCTACGAGATACGAACTCCTTCATTTCATTCACCCATCCCGTGGGTTGTTGCCGACACCGCGAAATCGCTCGCCGGCCCCAGAGTGCCAGCGTTGCTCTGCTTCGCATACGCTGCCGGTAGTCTCTTAGGCCAGCACAACACAAAATCAATCTTGATATATCTACCCCAACAAAGCAGCAAAGCACACATTTCCTAGATACCACGCAACACCTGGAGAAAGCCGACAATCGTTGACCCCCACCTTGCAGCAGTCTCTGATCACTCCGCTGTAGGTATCCTCATCCGGTACCATTCCTGCCTCCTCGACTTCGCTCATCAACCCCACGGCCTCCGCCCAGTTTCTACCTGCTCCCAAGGCCTGTATCGCTCTCTCAAACGCACCCAAGCTCTGCACGAAGGTCGGAGTGGGGGGCAGGGGACGCACGTGGAGAACGCTTTCATGCGTATGCGGCTGGGGATTGTTTGTCACGGCGTGCCTCTAAGTTGAATGGTAGGTTCCTAGAGCTACAATCAGAGACGAAGAGCATCGTGGAGATCTACCGCAACAACAAAGTACTGCTACTGAGTTCGAAGTACCTCTAGGAAACGAATTGCGCAGAGTAAGGTAAACTTTCCAACCGTCGTGCTGCCGACTCCTCCGACTTTCTTTATCTGGCATCAGTGTTTGCGCTGTATGTGTACCGAGTATTGCCTAAGGTATCACACCCCCTGGACCGAATTTCGAAGCTCGATATCTCGGCAGGAAAAGCGGTGACGTTTTTGAAACCGTCTCGTCGAGATATTTCGGAAACATGTACTTCGATTTTGCCATCCTCTTCGTCATGGAGTATTCGACCTTCGAAAATCGGTCCAGGGGGTGTGATATATGTTGCAACATACGGTATGTACCGCATCCAAGAAGTCTACAGGGAGAGAGAGAGAGAGAGAGAGAGAGAGAGAGAGAATCCCCGATAGTGGGTGATTCATCCTGTGGCTCTGCTGATGCATGCATGCAGCATAAACAATAACTGCGGGGCAGGTGAAAAAGCTGATGATCAAAAGGGTGTGTACGGGGGCTTTGCACAAAGCAGCAACTCTCACCGGTGTCAGTCCTCCGCCCCTTTCCTTTTCCAGCTGCTCTATCGCCTCTGTCCACTTTCCTCCCCCGCTCTGCTTCTCCACTGGACTAGCTCTTGCGACAGCAGCGCCGGTGCTTCCAGCAGCAGCAGCAACCGCCGTCCGCTTCGGTGCTCGTGCAAGCGCTTCAACCGCCAGCGCCTCCGACGACTGCCCGAGCTCCGCGCTAGGTGCACCCGATGACAGGCGAGAAGGAAGCCGACATCCCGAACGTTGTCCTTGCCATGCCATTAGGTGCAGCAGCCGCAGCCCCGGCACTGGAGATGGCGCTACTGCTGGAGGAGCGGAGGCCGGACTGCTGCGATGATGTCGCCCAATGCCAGCATGTCGAGCACTGGTACTGCTGTGAAGCTGCACCCATCCTAGCGCGCGCTCCGGGTTGTCAGCGAGGAGGACCGTCGAGAGAAGCAGCGCCGATGCGTTGAGCCTGCTTTCTTTTCGGCGTTGGTGTTGCTTTCGCCAGCAGCTGTGGTGCGGTCGTGCTGTATGGGTTGATGGTGGTGATGCCGAGAGGTCGTTCATGACCGGGCTGCTCCCAGCAGGTCAAGGTCAACCTGTGACGTACACAGCTACAGCAGTAGCAGCAGCGTGGCTGGTGGGTCCTCCAACATCAACTACTGCTGTAGTGTCGAGAGGGCACTAAGCAGTCCGATCTATGCGTGAAAAGGAGAGAGGCAACTTCACAACATTCTCTCTCCCCTTTCTAGACCAAGCACGGCACACCGCGATGTGGTTGTTACATGCGAGGAGGAGGGTGCTTGTCCCGCACGCGCGCACCACACGGCACTGTCCGTCTCAGCCCCTTTATCAACGACGTTTCGCAGGTCTGTGAACGCCCACATTTCCGCCGACGTCCGGCCGTTTTGACCTCATCCATCTGTCAGCAGGCGAGTTTACATCGACTCTGCCCGAGGCCTTAAACATGCTGCTCGGTTGGTGCACGTTCGTATTGGTGGCAGTACCAACGTTGCTGTTGCATAGAGCAGCGGTGCACGCGTTCGTGAGCCCAACCGGGAGGTCGGCGTCGTTTCCTGCCAACAGCATGTGAGCCAAACTGCCTATAACTGCCGCCCAATGGCGTGTATTTTTGGGTTTGTTCGATGCATGTACTAACAGCAATTTTGCATCGCTGTTACTGCTATTGCTAGTCTGTTCTAGTGGCGAAGTGGACGAGCACCGAGTCGTGTTTGCTGTTTAGATGATTTGGCAATTTGAAGCGTGCTGTTGTTGATGATAACATGCTGATAACATGTTTACCGACAAGCCTCCGTGCGCGATGTTTCGCCCGAACCAACGAGTCCATGTAACGGTGCATTGGATTCCACCTCAACCATCGTCGATACAGTGGGGGGCCGTCAATAACACCGGTAATATTCAATGTACGTAATGACTCGGTGATTCAGTATGTGCCCAGCAAATTCACCGGCGCCATGCAGGGGCACCTAGCGGCTATCGGCATACATAAGGAGCACCGCACCCATCCCCGCACCAATATGTGGCAACCGTCGCCTTTTTCGCATGACTGTCTTCGTGCAATCGCGGTGCCACTCCATCCCAGGGCGGCTGCGGGTAGGCGTTACAGCCCCCGCCGTGAGACAGCAGTAGGCCCACCGGGCGGTGAGCACGTTACATCGCGGCAAGGCTCGTTGAGACCAACAACAACCGCTGTCCTTCATTCAACGAGACGCGGCGCATCCGATGGCGATGGCGCCTCAAACAGGAAGAAAACGCGGCCTCAAAGTGGTGAAAACCTACCGAGCACCAGCAGCTCCACCAGCAACGGAGGGGTGACCCCCGCCGGAGCAAAGCGGCCAGCCGGCCGACCTCCTTCGCGTCTGGCTGCGACGGCAGCGAAGAGCGGACGCGAAGTTCTCGTCGGCATCACCGAGCCGGGCCACGAGGACACCGACGTTAACGTCCTGGTTCCGGTGAAGGACGTGGTGCCGGTGCCGCTGGCGGACATCTCGCAAGCCGCGGCGGACTCCCTGGGCGGCGGGGATGCGACCCGCGTTTCGATGGAGAGGTTCTGCAAGACCCTGGAGAGCGTCTTCCGGACCGAGTTCTCTGTGAAGGTAGACAGGGCCAACGCCGACTTCGTGCTCGGGGGCGGGCGCGACCGCACCACCGCCGGCCGTGGCAGTCGAGGTGCCGGCGGCGGCGAGCTGCTACAAGCACCTCAGCCGCAAGCGGGGCAGACAACGAAAGAAGGGGGCGCTAAGGGGGAAGGGAGTGCTGGCGACGACGAGAGCCCAGGGACGGCAATGGCTACTACTAAAGGGGTTCTAAAGAAGGCCGGCGACAGCTGGAAGAGCAAGCGCGGCAGATGGAGAGATAGCCTGCGGCGAAAGAAGAAAATCGAGGCCGATGCTAGCGAAGACTTGGGAGAGGCTCCTCCGGCCCCGGCAGCGGAAGTCGTCGCGGGTAAACGACGAGGAAAACGAAGCGGAGGGGGCAAGAGACGTAGCGGTCGCGGCGATGATAGCCGCCGTATTGTCGACAGGGCTGGTGAGACCGCGGCGGTCCCTCTGCTAGAGCTTGTGGACGAACTCGTGCGGAACGCCATGTTCAGTCCCATCGGCGCCCGAGATGTCATGATGTCGCAGGTGAACGTGGAACGCAATTTGGCAATTCCAAGCGTTCGGTGCTTGGGATGACTTCGTAGGTTGTTGCTCTCTCAGCAGGCTCGGTTCTTGGTTCACTCTCGATAGTTTTCTCCGGCCGGACCTACATAAATAGCATGTTGTGGACGAGGACGATAACCTGGTCCCGCACCCCGTTGCATTCCATGCACCTCATCGCCCACGACCCTCTTCGTGGTGATGCTGTAGACGGGAACCACTCACCACATGCTGTGAGTCAGTACGGCAACACCGCCACGCGGTATCTCTGCTTGCCCGCCCGAACCACCGCCCCTGATGTTCGGCTTTAGACAGCACTCCCGCGTCAGTTGGGTGTTCTTCTACGGTGAGAAGGACTCCTCCGACTCACGCATTCGCCCCCATGCACGTTTTCCACCGGAACCCAGGCTCTTGCTGCGGAGTTCCCCACCGCCGCTGGCGTTCGGCCGGTCTTTGGTAGCTTGGCGAACGTGTACGAGCTGCTGCGCCGTCGGTGTCGTGATGTGGAGGGAGAGGTGGCAGCAAACGATTCCCGAGGCGAGGACGCCGCCGCTGCGGCGAAGCGTATCAGGGACAGCGAACGCGCCATGCTGCCGTTCGAGGGGCGGCTGCTGGTCTTCTGGAGGGGCAATGGCGTGGAGGAGACGAGGGGAAGGCTTCTGCTCAAGAAGCTAGACTACTTGCAGGTGTGTTTGGGGGGTCATGCGGTGGTATGATTGCGATTGGTTGTTTGTTGTTTGCTTCTACAACGTCCCCAGACGTAAAGCGAAACGACAGCTCCCCTCCGAACACACAAAGGACGCTGCATTATCACCGCAAGGGGGTATCCGGTACGAAGCTGAGTCTGAGTCTAAACATTCATAAGAATTGCACCATGCGAACCGTTAACGTTCAAGGAGCGACGCGAAGCGTCAAGGGATACCTGGTCAACGAAGAAGGACCCCAGGGATTTGATCCTTGGGCGTGGCCTGATGCTGTGGGCGCAACACGAACAGGCAATAGATAAAATCGATTACCTCGAAGCCTGTTTCACAGACAGACGCATGGATACCGCATCACGATTCAAATAATTTTCGCTAAGCCAGACGACGTGCTTGTGCAAGGAAGAAGCTGGCGCCGATTTTTGCTATGGTGGCCTCACGGATAGGTTCACACTCCAATGTTGTCATTTGTTTGCTCTCCCTTCCCCGCTTGGCCTCCTCCAGAGCAACGCCGTCGGATGGCTTTCTCAGTCCGTAACCGATAGCCTGAAGGCTGGCCAACAGCAAGTGGTCGGGGCCGTGGATACCGTGGCCAGGTATGCCGCTGTTTGGGGTGAGAAAGGGGAACTTGTCTGCCGTGTTGTTGTCTGTTAAAGTTGTCGTCTTGTTCGACATTGTTGTTGGGGACGCAGCATTGGTGTTGGTTTTGTTGGTGCTGGTGTTGGTGCCGGTACTGCTATTTTCCTCACTCGTTGTCCTTGGTTCACTCGCTTGCTCGTGATCATTATCCACCCAGCAAATACGTCATACATCTCGTTGCCTCTTTCGGGGCTGGGCCGACGTAAGCCCGCCTTCCGAAGGGGCAACCAAAAAGATCATCGTGTACTCGTGTGCATGACTCCGAACGCACCCTACCCTTTCGTTTCCCTACCGACAACGCCAGGGACCTCGCCAGACGAAAGGACAGCGTTGTCCGCAGCCTGGCGGAGGGGGCGATTGAGTTCGGCCTGGAGCGAGACTCTTTGACGCAGTTCCTTCCGGTATCAAACGTCACGGAGATGGCCTTGACGAAAGAGCAGGAGGCTCTAGATGAGGCGCTGGAGGCATTGCGGCGCAACTCCCGCCGGTACGGGATGGAATGAGGAGTATGAGGTCGGGGTTGTGGTGGGGGAGATTAGAAAGTGGGGGGAACTGATTGTGATCGCTTTGTCTCTATTGGCACCTGTGGTGTTGTCTGTGGAATAGTTTACACTCGGGGGCGTTGGTTGTTGCGACGCGCGCGCAAAGAGGGAATTCGATAATTCATTTTGAACTACTCTTGCTGATCTTCGGCTTCGCTGTGTCCGTGGCTGCGTGATTTTATTCCCTCTCTCGCTCTCTCTCTCTTATGTCTTCGAGGCAGTTTTTGTGCTTCGCGATGCGGAAGGTTTTCGATGGGCGGTCCCTCTTCTACCTGTCTCTGCGTGTCTCTGCCTGCCTCTGTTTGTTTTGTTGTGTTTGGACGAATACGCCGTTTAGAATTTAAGGCCTGCTGGTCCTGGAGCTCGGATACAAGAAGATTTCATTCCCAGTCTTACGGGACTGCAGAGGAACATATGGACTTCCGTTTGTTGGTCAGAATGACAAGAGTCTGGCACGTGCAATTTTGTTGCCAAGACCACCGCGGTGTCATTGAAGAACACACGTCTACTCGAACCGTACCATCACTCACCTTCCCCACCCCCGCACGCCTTGCTGTTCCCGCAACACCCCCCTTTGATGTTCATTTCCCGGTGCTCTTACCTAACATCCATCGAAACGGCAGGGGCCCCGTGAATTTTCAGCGCTACGGCATGCGCGAGGTCAACGTCAAGCTCGAAGAGTTCTCCGAGGGTGGGGCGTGGCCTCCAGGAGATGACTCGTGGTTTTGGGAGCCAGAGGTGCCCGCAGCAGCGGATACAACGGCGGCAGCGGGGCAAGAAAGCACGAGGGATGGCGTTTTGGATGAGGGTGCGGGGATGGATGATTCTCCTATCCCTGGAGAGTGAGTCTGAATCGTGTGGGCCACCCCGGACTGACGATGTGTCCTGACAATGTTGTCAAGACTTCGATTTTCGGCTTTTGTAAGTGGTTTGTGCATTTAGGTGCGAACCATTCGGGGAAGCGTATGATCGACGTGCTTCAACGCGTTTCATTTCCACCTGACACGTATAAGTTCTTTGATTGCCGTAGAAGCGCTGTTCTATATTTGCCTGCTCATGGTTGTCCATGGAACGTCCATGGAACGTCCCAGTTTTTGGAAACGGCGCCCGCCCTCGAAGCCTTAACCGGTGAGTGTTCTCCCACACGTTCTCCATCGCAGGGTCCCTTCCACCGTGCTCCCCAGGGTGACGCTGGCTTCCGTGCTGAGCCCTAGCAGGCTGAGCCCTCCCGGCAAATCGGCCGTCGCGGCCACTACCAGCAGGAACAGCAGGAACAGCACCAACAGCCTGGGACAGATTGGACCGGAATCTGCATCTGGGTCGAATGAATCGTCGAGGTCGGCCCTGTCGCGGCTGTTATCGAAGTGCACCGTGAAGGAGCCAACGTACGATGAGGTAGGTACCCTACTTGCGTGTCAGCGGCCTTGCTGGCAGCAGGGGCTACACAGCGGCGTGATGGTTGTGCGTGGGGTGGCGGTATGGGCTTCCCCAGACGTTGGCTTCACAAACGTACGTAGAGCGTTTGTCGGTTTGTGTTTGCATCCGTAAGCCGGCATGTGCTGCCGTCGCCGACATCACAAAGCCTCCGAGGATCGATGCTATCGAGGACGGTATCTCAATCAACGCCACCCTTTAGAGATCGGTTTGTCGTAACGGCAGGGACGGGATGAGAACGACTCGCCCTTAGGTGTCCCCCCCCAGCTGGTGGGATGTTCAAAATCGAGGAATGCGCAAACATCGAACGGTTCCGTTGTCTCCTTACGAAAGGTCTTCCTAGGATCTGTTTCCCCGCCAAACCATACCGACGTCGTCACTTTTTTGTTGTGTGTCCTCGCTGGTGCCTCGACGTTGTCGAAAGACGGGTCTCGGGAGATTCTGCCCGACGGGGGGGCATTTTCGCCGGTCTAGTGGTTTTTGCAGCGTGTACTTCGAGCTATACTGATGTGTCGAGCTCACTGATGCCATGCCCCTATTTCCTCAGCTCTTGGAAGGTGCCCCAGCATAAAGCACCCTTCCTTGAAGACCGCGACGGTTGATCTCATTTTGCCGTCGGGCCGTCGGGCCGTCGGGTGATGTCGACAGGTGGTGGTGGTATACTTCAAGAGGACACGACGGCCTATCTTCAAGACACCAGCAACGTTGGCCGCGCTCTTGGGGGCTGCGACAAGAATCGGCAACAAAGTCCGCGGCGTTGATAAGGTGGACGCCGCTCAAGACGATGCCGACGAGGTCAAGGTGGGATGATGTGTCGTGTTTCGTAGCCTTTTGCTTTTCGCAATAGAAAAGATGAAATGGATCATCAAATATGTGGTGATCGAGAAGAATATTCGCTCCTCGAGCAGGTGCTACAATGTTGTGGTGGTGATGCTGTGGACTTTTACCGTTCGTGCGAGGAGACGAATGCCCCGTCGCAGCGGTTTTAGGCTGGTAGTTTGATTTGATTGTCGCAGCGGATATCGTGTACGAGGATGGAACTTTCTGCAGAAGGACGGGCTCTACGCTACCGGCATCAAGTGTATCACCACGTCGCATGCAGGGCTCTCCTAGTCGTGCTCTTGATGGGAATCGTGGTGCTAAAACACGCAGGCTGCTGGGCTAGGACTGCAACTGCGAGTGTACCGTGGAGTTCCGTTGGTGAACCTCAACTCCATCGCGCCGGACAAGAAGGTCGAAGTCCGCCCTCAGGTAGAACGAACGAACGAACCATGCCCAAAACGCTCACGGTCTTGGTTCAGTGACGATCTCCACCGGCTAGCCTCGGGTTGGTGTTCTGTGCGTGTAGTTTTTTTCATTCTGCTGTTGGGTGTTCCTTTTGTTGTTGGCGCCCACAACCCAGTGCATGAACGTTTCGAACGCGACTTGCATATGCTTTGGTTGTGGCTTTGTGGCTGACGTGCTCGTCTAGCTTGAAATTGATGTATCGTGGGCCGGAAGGGCTCTCTGCAAATGAATCGATCTGTAGAGCAATCTACACAACTTCACCTCTCCAACGTTGTACTGGGAATATACAGAACGGAATGAGGATTATTTGGAGGCCCCTACGCATCAATCTGTGACGAAGCTTGACAATGTCGCACGCTACCCACACGCGTAGCAGCAGTGCTATTTTCGTATGTGCAAGGCTTCTCACTTTTTGTGGTTTCTTTAGTCTTTTCTCTCCTGGAATTGTTTTCGGATTCTCTTGTGGTTATCAGGTCATATTCCTGTGTCGTTTCCGGGGTTATGGCATGTTGTTTTCAACGTGTTGTCGTCGAACGCTCAGCGAAAACCGTCTGTTGTTGCATCTTCTTTATATTGTTTTGCGTACCTTCTGTTGTCGAGTGTGCGCAATGTCAGGCATTTGCTGCTGGCGTTGTCCAGCTGCGCCTTGGCTGCCACCTCTGCTTTCGGTGGCTAGCCATCGCTCGCAGCAGTTCACGTATGCTGCACGTTGAGCGCCCCCCCTACCGGTTCGTCCCCCTGCTCTTGTCATACACGTCCTGCGTCCAACCCATTCGATGGTCACGAAATAGACTGCTCTACGATTAGATCTGAACACCGTCGTCGGTTTGGGGTTGGTGCTGGCTAACTTGCGGTTCGACTCCCCGGTGCTCGTGGCGGCGGCGACGGTGTCGGTTGTGCTGCTGGTGATCAGGACTATTGTCGGCTACCTTAATGCAAGGGTAAGTCTCCGCCACATGGGGGGTACTGTGCTGTTGTTGTTCGGCACCGTACGGCCGGGGGTTGAGGGGTGTCCATCTCGAGGCTTATGCGCCGGCAATCGGGCCGGTGCTACGCAAGGTTAGGATGACGCGGATGTTTCAGTGTTGTGTACGCGTGCAACTTCGGCCTCCGCCGCGATCGTTGCGGCCTGCGCCTTTCATGGCAGTGAGCAGGCTCTGCGTCGTGCAACCGCTGTTTGCACGTTCCCCAGAACCATGTTTTCGTTTCTCACGGTGGATAATGTCAACAGAGTGGGATATCCGTACATCATGGATGCAAGTTGGCGTGTGGTTCTGTCCTGGTGGTGAGCTTCCCCGTATGTTACTGGTCGCAATTAGATAGAGAGAGGCGAAAAGGCGGGCGCGTGATCATCGCTGTTGTCATTGTTCTCTGTCGTCACATTCTGTCTGAGTTGGCTCCCTGGGTTGACTCCAATCGCAGCTTTTCTTGCTTGCAAGGCGGTGGTGGGCTTGGTGCATGAAATATCACTGCATTCGTTTACTACTTCTGGCTCGTACGTCGTTTAGTTTGCTGAAACACTTGCCTACTTACGTCCCACCCTCGTTCTTCCTGTGGCTCTTGCCAGATCCGCGTCGAATCGTTTGTGTCTCGCGATATTCTGGACAAAACCATGGGCTCCAATGTTCCGGTGCTTAGACATCTTGCAGAGGAGGCAGCGCAGCAAAAGTCACGGCACGTTGCCATGGTGTATGGTGAGCGGACGTTATTCTGCCAGTGCACGCATAGTGTAATGATGAATCGTTTTTTTCCGACGAGTCCTTTGTGTGGGGGTTGTCACGCGATTGTGCACGTAACACAACGTTTCGGGGTCTTACCACACTGCTGTTCCCACGAGGTGCCATGCCCAAAGGATGGCACAACCTTTCCGGACTTGAGCTGCATGCATCGGTCTTCCAAGATTCGTGTGTTCTGTATCGCCAAATTCTGATGGAAGTGCAAGCCATGCTTCGAAATACAAGAAAAATTCGAGGCGGTGACAGTAGCGCTAATGTCACCGCCTCCAATAGTTTCTTGTCTTGGAAGCATGGCTCGAGCTTCTGTGCGAATTCGGCTGTACACACGAACCTTGGAAGACTGATGCATGCAGCTGTAGCCCGAAAAGGTTGTGCCGTCGTTTGAGCATTCCATGTCGTGGATCAGAATTATTTCTGGGCATACTAGAGCTCTCACGCTGCCTACCACTTGCCGACTAACCTCACGTGTTGATTCTGCCATCACCCGCTTAGCGGTCACCACCTCTCGCTTGTCTGAATCTTCCCTCCTCATTTCGCCTCGGCAAAGCAGCCTCCCTGCTGCAGTGCGCTATCGACACCGCCCCCGAGCCAGCAGCAAGTGGTGCCGCCGGCGAGTTCGAGTGGGGCGACCTGGCCGCTGTGTCGATTGCGGCGGTGTCTCGGCACTGCGACACCATGATGAAAGCGTGCGTTGCGCTACCCTGGGAGGCCAAGCTAGATGTGCCGTACTGGCTGAAAGAGCTGGAAAACCTCAAGGCAAGTCAAGATTTGGAATTGTTTGTCGGGCGAGAATAGTCAACTTTGGTAGGCTGTTCGGTACTCCCTACTTCAATATTACCGCTTCTTGTAAAAGAGATGGTGGTCGAAGCGTGGTATGTTCATTGAGGCACTTTGCGCCAAGTTCGAGGCATGTGACGTGCTGCGACCAGAGTTCATGCGGGTGCATAGAGAGGGTGGTAATGTCGATTCTTTGCGAGCGAGCGCAAGGGGACGATGTTCCAACAATTTCGGAAGCGTGTGGTTCCACGGGCTTCCAGGATACCCCAGGTCACGCTAGGTGCCGCGCGCTACTCGGGAAAGGATCCGGTTGCTCGTCACGGCTCAAAATGCCATCAAACTCTGGCCTGCTCTCATATCCAGCAGGTGGATTGCTGTGGATATCAAGACCCCCACAGTACCACACAGGGCGAAACCTGCTCCAAACGTATCTGAGGAATGTGTTTTCCTTTGCAACCTTTGGTGGAAACCGCGATGATTTTCCCTGTGTAATGATCTCCCTCATTTTCTACCAGAATTGATTTTTTTTGGTACCAGACCTGCCACGCGCTCAACGACCTATCAAGAAGTCACCGTTTCGAGTTGTGGATTGGTTCCGTTTCTCTCAAAATGCTGCCAGAGAATCGTTTCCAAACCTTGCGCATGTACGAACAATTTAACCCACAGGTTCTTGTTCGCCTGGACGAACCCGGGCGGGAGGGCGGAAGGGACTCGAACGCTGACAAGGTCGGCTCGTGCTCGTTACCGTTGGCTCTTGAGGACCTGAGCACAACCGCTGCTTCCGCTGTAGCAGCATCAACAGCGCCACCCCAAGCTAAGCCGCCAGGAGGAACGGCAGTTGGTGGCTCTGCCGTCGTGTTTTGTCGGCTCCTCAACCCCGAGGCAGCGGTGGAACAGCTCAAGTCAAAATGGTCCGAACTCGTGGAACCTCCACCAGAACGATTCAATGATGCGGGGAGCCGTGGCTCCGGGGAGCCTAGCACGCCGTGGCGAAGGGTTGGTGGGGCTAGCGATTAAGGGCGGGGCGAACAGTCCCTATTTAGTGCCGTCAGTATCGTTCAGAGGACGACGAGTGTTTGGTCTACCATGGTGCTTCTCGTGATGTTTGTCATGTGTTTGTGTGAGCCTCCGTAGAAGGTCGATTTGTTTGTGTTGTTTCGTTTATTTGGGGCGGAAGGCGGGCGGGCTCGGAGGGCAATTGTGTGATGACGTGTGATGCAGGTCGCCTCATGTTTTGAATATATTCGTACGTGATGTTGAGCCTGCTGGAGGGATAGCATCGATCACAGAGACCCTTCTACGAGGTCACTGTTGCGATATTTTCGTGGCTCGGTTTCCTCCCGCATCCGGATTTTCTTGCGCTCCCGACGTGCTGATTCCTGATCACAAACTGGATTTTTTTATGAACGTATTTACTTGAGCGCGCAGCAGTGCTCTCGAACTGTGTGTCCCCCCTCCCTCCCCCCCTAAGAAGTTTGTTTGTTATCGAGTGTAACCATCGACGGTGTGCCTCAAAATCATCCTCCTCGGTGCGGGACGCCACGCAGAGGACGACGAGAGAGGGGAGTCGGTTCTGGCATCTTCGTCTTCCGAAGATTGTGGGGGCTACACTACAGTGCCCATTTGGAATGGGTCTGCAATCGCGCACAGAAAATGGGCGCGGATCGGCAAAAGAACTACATCGTTCTTTCCAGGAAAAGAGACAACCTCAATTGCTGTTGGTGACGTTGGTTGAGCCATCGCCGCCAGGCATCTTTCAAAGTCGAGTATAGTAGAGGTATATTGCAGATGGGCGACAACTTTTGGCATGGACAATCTCCGAATCAATCACGCTGCGTGTTGGCCATCGCATGATTGGTGACCGATCGTGTGTCGTTGTATATTTTGTAAGACGCCGCTACCCACAAATGGGTTTCTTCTGTAGGTGGGTGCCAAGAATGGAAGGAGCTCTGGCTACTGCTGGAACAAATCTACAGAGCTCAGCAATGTGAACGGTAGGCTACAACCGCGACTACCAGAAAGACCGCCAAGCTCCCTAAGCAAGTAGAATTACACGGAAGAACCATGGTCAGCGTCACGCATACACTTGAAACGCGAATTGAGTTTCGCTCGCCGGTTACTTGGAAGACGAGAGGGCTTCATTCGAGCGATCGGTCCAAATGACGAGGATATCCTAACCTGTGTAGCGCTATGTCCATGCAGGCCGGCTGACGAGTACGATACCGCCGCCAAAAGAGCAAACAGAAACTTGTACCCAGATTGCAGGATAACTGTACTTACCTTTGGCCACAAAATGTGTCAAAAGTCCACATCAAAGCTATGTGGCCCGACCATCTGCCGTGCGGAGTCTCGTTCAACTAGCGTACCGCTGACTGTAGACTTTCTGACCAGTGGTCATCTTGGCATCATTATCAGGGGCAAGGGTGCGCCGGGGGTGCGCCAGGGTAGCCTCTGTGTTCTGCGCTACCCTTTGTTGAAGTACGGCTTCTGGTCTTGTTGGTATTCCATCTCCTCGTGCTCTTGGGGCATCTGTAAAAGTAGTTCCAGGCCCACCGTTCTCGCCGTGCCATCGCAGTGATACACTCCAACCAAATGGCTTCTCGCATCACGATTATCGAAGGAGGGGAGGTGAGAGAAACGCTTTTCAAGCGACAACACTACCTTGATCGACTTCATAAGTCGCGAGGGAAGGGATTGCTGTACACTTCTCGCGAAAAAAATATCTCAGGCAGGAACCGCAGGAGGGGGTCCAACCCCCCCCTCCCATGTGACCCCGGTTGGGTGGTCTAGCTGGTAGTCTAGAGGTGGAGGATAGGGGCCGGAAGGGCAGACGGCAGAGTCCAATCATGAGAGAAAAAACAAACACGCAGACCCAGATCTAAAGTAGCATGCACGAAAGCGAAAGGGACGTAAGCCCTCTGTACGTATATGCGAGTGCCGGTAACCAACGGTTGCTGTTCCGAAACAAATGGCTTTGACTGCCGATGCCCACCGTATCTGCATATTTATTGAGGCGACATGAATCGCAGTTCAAGGCGGCTGCATGCATATGGAGTCATTTCATTCACTATTGGAGCCTCACCTCCCTCTCTCTTGCATTTCCACCCGGTGGCTGATGATGATGCACTGTTCGCTCCCGCTCTGTGCCCGATCTGCGAGCATCGATGCGACACGACGCACCTTGTGTGTATCCAGGGCAGAGTCAACCTGCATGTAAAAAAAAAAACGTGGGAGCCCCACAAGAGGACAATTTGGAGAGTGAGCCTGTGATTGACAACTTGAAGCGCACTTTGTCCACCAACCTCGCACCAGTTCTCTATCACACCCGAGAGCGTGTGTGCGACATCGTGCCACAGACAGAAGTCACTATAGCTCGAGTACCTACTGCGAAGAACGAACCCAGTATACAGGCGCCTCTGTGCGTTTCGTATCGTGTTCCTGGCGATAGGTAGCACAACCAACATCGACACCTTTATGGCCATACTCACGCAAGCTTGCTGTTGGAGTAAGTGCTTCGGACGTATATCGCCGCAATGCCTTTCTAGGAATTTGACGCAATCTTAGCATCTGTCGTGAACATTGAACGCCGATGAAAATTACATGGACGACGTTCCCGTCTCGACTCCACGTACATACCTAACACATTCGCATGCGACGTGAGCGCTGATGGGAGAAAGCGTGATAGCATTACTGCGGAGGATTTGCGCTCGATTTGCGTCTCGATTCTCGATCCTAATATCAACACACGTTTGAGTTGATCATCGTTCCCGAAGCGACAGAGGCATTCACCCCGCCGATACATTCAATTCGATGGTGTTGCTCTGTTTCGCAATAGAATGCATTCACTACAAATTCGATATGAAATGAATTTTCATTCCATTCATGATTGGATGATCCCCACGGGTTTACTCAGGACAATTTGAGTCGAACTATATGGAACCTCAGAGAGTCTATTCCGTTCAAAGTGAAATGAATGTATCTCAAGCACGAAGTGAATATTGCGGTTGACAACGGTAACCTGTTCACACACAGAAATCTCAATTGCACGTCATAGATGCACTATTTGCTCCGATGACATCGGTATTTTATGAAGAGACCAACATTATATTGTTTTCCTCGAGAAAGTACATGAAAATTTATTCCCTTTGAATGAATTTTTGTTTCCACGGAATGTTGTGTGTTCACTCCCACACAGCGCTCACGTTGATTCTCAAGAAGTGCAAAGTTTGCCGATAGCCCGATAATACTACACAGAAATGCCGAATTTCGTTTGGGCAACATGGATGCAACCTTCACTCCAAAGACACAACAATTTCATGAAGAGACAAACCTCACACTGCATTCGTCCATGAAAAGTTAGACAGACATTCACTTTGAATGAATTTTGATTCCCACGGAGTTGTGTGTATTCACTCCCGCACTGTGCGTACATTGGTTCTCGTGCATTAACCTGGTCATAAATGTCGTAGTGTACACCGTTTGATAAAGTTGATATCAACCATTCAAGAATGCGAACGAGAGTCGGTTAATGTGACTGTTGGCGAATTCTGCCGCCTAGGTTCATGATCTTCGTGCCTTGGACACGTACTGTACCTCGTCTGCTTGGTGAGACCAAAGGGCCTCCAACCTGTCCAATTTGAGTTAAATTGCACTGCTTCAATCTGAGTTGAATGGCGCTACTCATTGCAGACACCCATTTGTGTGCTTGTGCGACAGAAGAATGATGGTTATGGGTTCATCAGACGCCATTGACACCATCAGTACATATCAGATTCTCTCCAGATTCACATATTTTCATCGCATCCATTCCGAAAACACTTTGGAGAGATTCCATCTCCTTTGAAGAGGGAAAGATATCATCTCAGGATCGTTGAGTAGGCTTGGCGGTTGACTGTGGTAGACCATATATACCAAAATGATGAAATGCAGCACAATGTTGCGAATTCATCGCGAATTCCTCCTACCACATTTGGACGATGTGCACTCAGACAACCGACATTTTTCACAATAAAATATGTGTAGTATTTCATTTCGTGACAGGCAGAGATGAGCAGATGATCACTTCAAACACTGATATAGACACACATTTGGTGTAATCGTTTCCCACAGAGTACATTCGCATATTCGCTGTGTGTCGTGTGACCACTCTCACACAGTGCGTTGTGCTTTGCTCCTATCACTAGTCTTATGTACACCGTTCAAAAACGTTCATCAGAAGCATATATATAATGTGGATGAGACGCCAATCTCAGGGTACTTTGCGTTTGGTATCGAGCCAGAGTTTCTCAAATCTGAGGGATCCATGATGGGTTCGCATTTCTCAGATAACAAATAAACCGATACTCACTTTGAATGAACGTTGACTGCCACAGAATTTTGTCTAGTCACTCCCACAAGGTTCTTACGTTGATTGTAAAGCCGTGCCTCGCGATTTGACAATTGATTGCCATGGGATTTCGAGAATTCACTCCAACTCTTGTAACAGATATCATATTGTCCACGGTTTGATAACGTTGGTGGACTCGAAATGATGCAAGCGGCAGACGAGAGTTGGTTGTTTTGACTATTGGTGAACTTCTGTGGCCTAGAAATTCATTCTACCTTCATGCCTTGGGCAAGAACTGTACTTCGTGTTTTCGTCGAGGCCAAGGTTGTCTCAAACCCGTTTAGTTCGGGTTTAAAATGGCGCTGCTCTTTGCCGACACCAACTGGTGTGCGACGGGAGAATCAATAGCTGTTGGTTCATTGGCAATGATGCCCAATCTCTTCAGATTCACTTGTTCGAAGGAGTCCATTCCAAACACACTTCGGAGAGATTTCATCTTGCTTAGAGTGAGAAAAAAAATCATTTCAGGATCGTTCAGTGGGCTGGGTCGTTGACTGCGGTTGACCGCATATACTTAAAAAAAAATGGTGAAATGCAGCGAGATGTCGCGAATTCCTCGCGCCACCTTTTGACGATGTTCAGTCCGACCACACATGATGTTACATACGGAGTATTTCATTTCGTCAATGGCACAAATTAACTGATGATCACTGCAAACATTGATTCAGATACAATTCGGTGTATTCATTTCCACACAGTGCACACGCTTGTTCGCTGTGTGTCGTGCGGACATTCATACGCAGTGCGTAGTGCCTCGCTCCTATCGCTAATGCCCGATGTACGCTGTTTCTGATTTGAAGGATTC